TGTCGGTTTCCAGTCAACATGACGATAAAAGGGAGAAGAAAGTCATATGGTTTCAGTTTGACGGAAGGAGATGGTTTGGGCCTAGAATTAGCATTTATTCTTTTTACCCATGAGTCTGCAGAACATGGTATGATGGCCACACTTAAGACAGTTTGGTTGGAAACGTAGTCTAAATCTGTGTCCAGAGGAAAAGGCAGACCGACTGATAAGAAGCAAGTCGATTTCTGCCAAGTTAGGTCCATGTGAGTTAGGCTAAACTCCGGGAGTTGTTGATGGACACGGAGGCCTGATGTGCTGCAGTCCATGGGGTCCCAAAGAGTCCGACATGACTGAGCGACTGAAGTGAACAGAACTGATATATGTACTCACTAAAACAATAGCTAACATCCTTCAAGAACAAAGATCTAACTTATGAGGTGCAAGCTACTCATTCATTATGTAACTAATAATCCTTAATTTGCAGAGTTGTAAAGAGTATTGAAAAAAATACCAACTTACTGTGCCATGTCCTGAATATGGAACTGTAAGTTTCTTTGCAATTAAAATATTCTGATGGATGAAAGTATTAGATCCAAAATATAGTGGGGCTTTTGTTTGTTGATTGGCCAGTTTCAGTTTGTTCTGCTTGATGTTATATTTCTTTGGGAAATACATGGTGGTATGCCATGGGGAAGAATATGGTGGACTAATTCTCTGTAAGAGATCTTTCTTTCAGGATTATACACAAATCTACAGACACATATTTCTCAATGATTTACAATGATGTTCCTTTGTTTCCAATTTAAATAACTAAATTTCAGTTCATTTCAGTTGCTCAGTGGTGTCCACTTCTTTGTAACCCCGTGGGCTGCAGCATGGCAGGTCTCCCTGTCTGTCACCAACTCCCAGAGTTTATTCAAATTCATGTCCATTGAGTCAGTGATGCCATCCAACCATTTCATCCTCTGTTGTCCCCTTCTCCCACCTTCAATCTTTCCCAGTATCAGATTCTTTTCAAATGAGTCAGCTCGTCACATGAGGTGGCCAAAGTATTGGAGTTTCAGCTTCAACATCAGTCCTTCCAATGAATATTCAGGACTGATCTCTTTTAGGATGGACTGGTTGGATCTCCTTGCAGTCCAAGGGACTCAAGAGTCTTCTCCAACACCACAGTTCAAAAGCATCAATTCTTCCATGCTCAGCTTTCTTTATAGTCCAACTCTCACATCCATACATGAGAAATGCAAGTCAAAGCTACAGTGAGGTGCCAATCTACACCAATCAGAATGGCCATCATCAAAAAACCTACAAACAATAAATGCTGGCAAGGGTGTGGAGAAAAGGGAGTTCTCTTGCATTGTACATGGGAATATAAATTGATACAGCCACTTGGAGAACAGTATGGAGATTCCTTCAAACAAAAAAAAGAACTAAAAATAGAAACCACTACTGAGCATATACCTGAGAAAAGCACGATTCAAAAGACATATGTGCAAAGCACTATTAATGCCAAGAACTCAGGATTCCCTCCACATCTCCCCTCCACTCTCAATACCTAATAAAAAGAATGGTTATTATGGCAAGTGCTTGCTGAATTCCAGGCACAGGGTTGAGCATTTTATGGATAGTATCTCATTCAAACCTCAAACAATTCAAAGAGATATAAACCTGCCTAGAGCAGTGGGAAGCTTTCTTAAATCTCACATAACTAAAATAAAAAGTGTATAGGGTATACATTTCTCTAAGAAATAAAATTGTTTTAAAAACAGCAAATACACAGCGACTGTGTTTAAGCAGTCTATGAATAATTTGTAAAATAAGTTAATACACATAAAGTGTTTAGAACCTTGTTTAAAATGGATTATATATAATTTTAGAATGATTTCTAATATTGTTTAATTTCTTTATTTTGAACACTGAGGTACTTTTCATTTCCTTTAGGGAAGATAGCATAGAATCTCAGAAATTGCAGCTTTTCTAGTAATGTGAAATTCCCATCTAATTCCATACATTTTATGAAATAGTGCTCTGACAAGAATATTAGAGATGTATGAATGGTGAGACAAATAGGCACTGCTGTTTTTAAAAATCAATAGCAAACAAACATGTAGTCCCTGCCTTCAAGTAAGATAACTTAATCAATCATGGAAATGTTTGCAAATATTGCAAACATGAAAGCAAATATTATAACACCAGGATTCCCAAGTGGCTCAGTGGTGAAGAATCTGCGTGCCAATGCAGAATACATGGGTTTGATCCCTCAGTCAGGGAAGGAAATGGCAACTCACCCCAGAATTCTTGCCTGGAAAATCCCATAGACAGAGGAGCATGGTGGGCTCCACTATGGGGTCACAAAACAATCAGACACAATGGAGTGACTAAAGAACAACATTATAATACTCTATCAATGACAGGCAATATAAACGGGAAAAAAATCAGTTACAAGGAATTATCTTCTGTACTTTCCAATAAATTTTATCCTGAAATTAAACTTAACCTTCAAAAAAAATTAGTCTATTTAAAAAGACTGAAGGAGATGATTGTTATCTGAAAAGTAAGTTGAACCTGAAGCAGGTTAAACATAAAGGGGTAGGTTGAACGGAGTTTTCATTTTCCTTCTACATACTTTAGGGATTTTGACTCTTTTTAATAACAGACATTTTACATTTATTTGCAGTTGTATATTTCCCTGTCTCTTCTGTAAACCACAAACCCCCAAGAACACTGGGTGATCTTTGCCCTGAGTCAGATATGACTGAGCATGCATGCAAGAAGTAAAACACAGTGCTTTGATACACACATTTATATAGTGCAATGAGCACTATATCCAAGCTAATTAACATGTCCATCTTTTCACATCATCATCGTGTGTGTGTGTGTGTATGTGTGTGTGTGTGTTTAGATCACCTGAGATCTACTCTCTTAGCAAGTTTCCAATATAATATAAGCTATGATCACCACGCAGCAATTTGGGTTTCTCAAGCTTATTCATCTTACATAACTGAAACTTCACACACTTTGACCAACATCTCCCTGTTTCCCACACCTCCCTGTCCCTGATAACCACTGCTCTACTCACTATTTCTATGAATTTGACTTTTTGAGAGTTCGCATGTAAGTGGGATCATGCAGTATTTGTCTTTTTATGCCTGGCTTATTTGCTTAGGGTAATGTCCTCCACGGCTTACCAGGTGGCACTAGTGATAAAGCATCCACTTGCAATACAGGAGACACAAGAGATGCGGGTTCAACCTCTGGGTTGGGAAGATCCCCTGAAGGAGGAAATGGCAATCCGCTGCGGTATTCTTGCCTGGGAAATCCCATGGACAGAGGAGCATGGTGGGCTACAGTTGATGGGGTCACAATGAGTTGGACACAATAATGCTCAGTGTCTGAGCACAATATCCTCCAGATTCACCCATGTTGTTGAAAATACAGGATTGCCTTCATTTTAAAATTATAGGTATACAGATATATCACAATTTCTTTATCCATTCATTCGTGAATGGGCATTTAGAATATCCAATGTACTGACTTCATTTTCTTTGCATACATATTCAGAAATGAAATTACTGAATCATATGATAGTTCTGTTTTTAGAGAAACCTCCAAACTCTGTTTCATAAACCCTATGACAACTTTCCTTCCCCAAAATGCATGAGGGTCCTTTTTCTCTACATCTTTGACTACACTTGTTATCTTTTGTCTTTTTGACAATAGTCATTCCAACAAGTATGAGTCCATACCCCATTATTGTTTTAATTTGTGCTTTCCTGATGAGTAGTGATGTGGAGTATATTTTTATATACCTATTGGTCATTTGTATGGCTTCCTTAGGAAAAAAAAATGCCTATGCAAGTCCTTTGCCCATTTTCAAAATCAACTTCTTTGATATTTTTTACTACTAGGATGTTCGAGATCCTCACATGTTTTAGACATGAACTCCTTACAGAGCTATGATTTGCAAATATTTTTCCAAACACAAGTTGTCTTTTCATTATGATAATCATTTTCTTTGCCATGCAGAAGCATTTTGACATTGTACACTTGTATAATTTTGCTTTTGATTTCCAGGTTTTGGTGCCACATTCAAAAAACCATTGCCAATGTCAAGGATATTTCCCTCTATGTTTTCTTCTAGTTTTTACACTTTAAAGTATTACATTTAAGTCTCTAATCCATTTGGGGTTGACTATTGCATGTGCTGTAACAGCAGGGTCCCACCCATATTTCTCTTTTGCATAATTACTCATGGCTTTTTATTACAACACTCTCACTTTTATCTTAAAACTTAGCATTGTTATCTCTTGTAATACCTATTTAAACTTATTTCATCAATTCAGGACCTCCCCATAAGCTAGTATAATGCTTGCTCTATCATATATTTGCTATGAGTGTGCTTATATGTGTGTATACAGTATATATACATACAAAGTTTACATGAATTAAAATATATAAAAGATATTTGCATACATTTTCTATATCCATTCAGCAGATTATACCAATCAATTATCTCTAAGAGAGAAGATTCAATTTTTTAATAAAAAAGCTGGCCAAAAAAAAGCAAAGTTGATTTAATTGAGAGCAAGTGTCACTATTTCCCTGAGTGCTCAAGACTATTTCCTTCCCCTTACTGCCTCTGTCAAAATGTACCATGAAGCTCTGACTTTCTTTTTAAAATATTCTTCTTTACTTCTCTTTCACATATTTCTAAAATTCCACAAGAATATGATTGTCTTTTTTAATAGAATGTCCTTTGGAAATAGTCATGAGTTAATCATAAAATGTTTGATATTCTCTTTCAGTGTGATTAGTTATTTGAGTTTTCTTCCCTTCCCTTCTTGCTTCTTTCCTCTGTTTTTTATAAGTATCATGTGACCCTACAAAGAATAACTGCCCTAATCATCAGGAGGACCATGTTCTTAATATTGCATTTCTACCTCCATGACCTTAAGCCAATTGATTATTTATTAGTTCCCTCATCTTACAAACAGAAGGATCAGCCTAGATTATTGCTAAGGTAGTTTTCACTTCTAACACTTCTGGGATTAAAAAAAAACTTTGATTGAATTTCAAACCTGAGCAATCAGTAGTTAAATTTCAGAGAAGCTATTACAGCAAAAAACTAACAAGTTTCTCATGCCAGTGTGAGACTTAGACTCCAAGACCCAACATTTTTACTGATCTTTCTAACAAGATGCTTTGGGCATTATTAAGACTGATTGAGTGTTCAGAGATGGGTGATTACTAACCTGGAAAGAAATCATTTGCCTCACTCCTAAACAAGTTTCAGAGGAACTAATTAATGAAGGCAGTCTTAAATAAGGAAATTTTCTGGGTGATAACTGCTGTTCAACTCCGAAATGTAGCTCTCGAGACCTGATACAGTGAGGCGGCAAAGAAAAACTGACCCCGGGGGAATCACAGTGCCTTTGCAAATTAATGTAAGGTGCGGGGTAGTTCTTTCTAGCATTATCAGTTTATTGCTTGTTATCCTGGTTTCTTGAAGTTAGATTGTTTGCCCTACAAAACAAACAAAAGAAAAATTTATTCCCATTTAGCAAAAACTGGCAAAGCCAGAAGATTAAATTACTTTATAAAAATCAGAAGTTATAGGAAAGGTAGTAATTCAAACTCTTTGCTACTTGAAGAACATGGGTCTCAGGCTTCAAAGACTGCATATTTTGTTATTCCCATTACATGACATTATAGAAAAGGCAGAAATATACAGACAGAAAAAGATCAGTGATTGTCAGGGGTTTGGAGGTGGATAGATATGTAAAGTAGGTGAAGCACAGGAGATGTTGCGTTAGAAAAATTAAGTAAAAAGTGCACGGGATTTCTCTGTATTATTTCTTAGTGCTGCATGTGTGTCTACAATTATCTCAAAATAAAAACTTACTTAAAAGCAAAAACAAAAGAGTGTGTGTACCGCAGGAGGACACTTTTAGGTTGAACACCAGCTCTTGATCTTGAGCAAGTTATTTAAAACCCCTGACTTTCTGTTTCTTCAAGTGTAGCAGCAAGTTAGTGGTACTCTCAGTCAGGAATTAAATAAGACAGTGTGTATAATATGCCTAGAAGATAACAAGTGCTCAATAAATATTAATTATCATTCTTGCTTAATTATCACTGTTATTCTCACCCAGACTATTGCACCAGCTCCTACCAGGTCGCATCACCTCTAGACACTCTGACCATCTTTCACAAAGCCACCTTTCCAACAAGGTGGCCCTAATATGATAAAAATAAGCCTCTTTCTAAAGAATAATGTTCCAGCTCACTAAACCAATCAGACCATAATATGACTCCATCTATTTTTCTATTCCTATCACATACAACTCGGCTGTACCGTCCCCATAACCTCAGCTAAACATGACCCCCTGTTTGTCACATCACCAGGCCCTCCTTCGGTCATTCCCGTCACCTGCTATTCCTCTCATCACGGCTGGACCCCCAAATCCCACCTTCAGTGCCCGTCTCAAAGGGCACCTCCTCCACAATGATCATTTACTGCCTAATCTAATACACAATGAATATTCCTTCCTTCTTTCCTTCCTTCCTTTGAGTCTTCATCGAACCCTGTGTTTCCTTCTTATGACTATTAACAATTCTGTCGTAAATTTTAGTCACTATACATTAGCCATGCATTATTCAATTGGATAAGGATAGAGACTATATTTTTCTGGTTATTATTATTAATAGCAACAATAAAGGTCAACAAACTATAGTACTTTAACTTTAGTAAATAAGCCCTATTTTGTTGCTCAGAAATGTTTATAGGTTTATTTTATAAATGTCAAAATGAAGCCTTCCTGGGAGCAAGGTAGCTTCTGGAGGTTAAAGAAAAAATTAATGACAAACTTCAGTCTGATACTCTCCCCTTTGACTTCCTATCCAGTAAGCTTCCCAGACCAATATCTTCTTACTCTTACCTGGACAAGATCACCAGTCTTGTACTGTCAACGTTATCAACAGTCCATATGCTCTCAGGCTTCCTGCATAAACATTTGCCAGAGTATTAGTTTCATCTCAATTTTACAAGCAAAATTATGCAAAGATTATAGTCATTTAACTTCCCCAGACCCACCTTCTATTCCCATTTTTTTTCCCCACCAAAGTGTCCACAAGCTCAGAATCTCCTAAAAGCCCTCATCAAAGGCAAAATCCATGCCACAAGGGCCTCAAGTTTAAAACTATGTAAATCAAAGTATGAAATGAGAATGGTAAATGTGTCTTTTATACCAAGAAATAGTAAATTAAAAATTTGAAGTCTATAAATTGGCAAGGAAATGCTTAAAGCATTGTTATTGAGTGATACTGAATAATAAATATGTTAAATAGGCTTATTTTCAAATCCCAATCTCAATTAAAAATAAAAAAAAAGGAGACTTACTACCTTAAAAAGGATAATAAAGAATCAAGTGGACATTCTTAAGGGTATTCTAGGATCCTTTTTTAAAGTAGATATTATAGAAATGTACTCACTATAAAATGTTTAAACAACACAGAAACATAGAAAATTTTTTCTCAATGATCTTATCACACAAATATAACTGCTACTAAGTTAGGTGGTTCATTTCTGATCTTCCTTGTTTTAAACCTTTTCCCCATTTAGTGTTTTGGAAACATATGAATAACATTTTTTTACTACATATTTAGCCAGAGAATAATATCTTCATGGTTTATAAACACTTAAGACTGATAATAGCTGAAAAATAGTTTTATATATAGGACATAATGCTACAGTTTATTGGGCTTAAATATTCAACAGAGAAAAATGATTATTTTAGTAGTTAATGGTTCCATCTGTAGCCAGGTGCATCTGAGCCCAAAGCTTGTACTTTTAAGGATGAAATTTACAAAAGCCATTTTAAAATCATTTTGAGGTTCTCAATTTTTAGTTTTCATTTTTTGTAGAGAAAAGGTAGAGACCTGGATACTTCTTTAAGGCAGAACATACACCCTTATTCTGTATAAATCCTGCCTATCAATTTTTTAAAAACATCAGAGTAAAATAACATAAACACATATACAATTGTCATTTTAGCCATTCAATATATAATTGACATTAAACATAATTGACATTGTCTAAGTGACATTATGTAAATAACACCATCATACAACCATTACCGCCATCCAACTCCAGAATTATTGTTTCATCATTGGAAACTAAAACCTGTACCTATCAAATAGCTCCATACTGTCCCCTCCCCTTCCTGCTGGTGACCACTGTTTTGTTTTCCATCTCTGAATTTGACTGTTCTTAGCTTCCCAGGTGGCGCTAGTGGTGAAGAACTCACCTGCCAATGCAGGAGATGTAAGAGATGCGAGTTTGATCCTGAAAGGGTAACAGGCAGGAAGGCCAGCGGTCTCCAAATGGAGGAAATAGGCTGCAAGTGTCAGACATTTTTTCTCTCTCTTAAGCAGCAGGAGGAAACAAACTAGCAGTATTTTTTTTTCTTCTCTGTACAAATTTAAATGGAGGTTTCTCTTAAAATGCTGTGTTGCCATGACACCTGGTTTCACCTGAAGCTAACTATTCTCAAACCTTGAGTTAACCAATACATTTTTCTTATGGAAATGTTGTCTTAAGTTCTGTTAATGGATATTTGGGTTTTTTTCCCCACATTTTTTACTATGATGAACAGTCCAGCTATTGTCAGTAAACTTTCTAGCCATGCAAGGACAAAGCAAACATTTTCTACTGAAATTAGGATGAATATGATAATATAAAATATTAGCTAGTTTATGAACATTCATTTAACAAATATTTAACAAATATTGTTAGGGCCTCTCTGGTGGCTCAGATGGTAAAGAATCCGCCTGCAATGCAGGAGACCTGGGTTTGACGCTTGGGTCAGGAAGATCCCCTGGAGAAGGAAATGGCAACCCACTCCAGTATTCTTGCCTGGGAAATCCCATGGACAGAGAAGCCTAGTGGGCTACAATCCACAGGATCACAAAGAGTCTGACATGATTTAGCAACTAAACAACTCCAACAAATAAAGTAGAAAACTGATGAGAACTGACTACATAGCCCAGGAAACTCTACTCCATGTTCTGTGGTGAAACAAATGGGGAGAAAAAAAAAACCAGGAGGGCATAATATGCATATGTAGAGCTGATTCACTCTGCTGTATAGCAGAAACAAGCACGACAACGTAAAGAAACTACACTCCAATTAAAAAAATATATATTTTTTAATTTAAAAGATTATCCTTCAGAAAATGTTCATAGTCATTTCAACTGAAAAAGCTGAGGTAAACTGTCAGAAGCAAACTCAAGTTTTCCATTCAAAAATTTGCAAAAAAATCATGTGAAATTTTTATTCAAATTCAAATCACCCTTATCATTTTGAATTGTATTTGTTTCATTAAAAAATGGTATTTGAAAATAATACAGTATCCCACTTGGATACCCCGGTCTTGTCCCAGTGTCTTCAGTATACTGAGCAATTATCTTTCTTTATTTTACCATGGCAGGAAATCTATTCAGCTCTATGATGACTAATTTTATGTGTCAATTTGGCTGGGTCACAATGCCCAACTGTGGCAAAATATTATTCTAGATGATTCTGTGATGTGTTCTGGGATAAGAATAACATTCACATCGGTGAATTTTGAATCTGATTGCCCTCCAACATGTGTGTGGGCCTCATCTAATCAGCTGAAGGCCTGAATAGAATAAAGCACTGATCTTTCCTGAGCAAGAGAGAATCCTGTGGCAGACTCCTTTCAGACTTGAAATTCCAGCATCGGTTTTTCCTGTGTCTTCAGCCTGATGGTTAGACTTGAACTATAACATCAACTCTTTCCTGAATCTCCACCCTGCAGAATTTGTACTTGCCAGCCTCCATAATATCATGAGTTCATTATTTAAAATAAATGCCATTCTACTTATACACACACATCCTATTGGTTCTGTTTCTCTGGAGGAGGTTCTGTTTCTCTGGAGGACCCTGACTAATACAAACACAAATGATAATAGCAAACAAACAGTGCTCCTTATATAACAAGACACCATTCCAGTCACTTCAAAAAATTAACTATGTAACTACTATTATTATCATTTTCACTCTATGTGGTTACAGAAGCTCAGATATATTAAGTAACTTGCCTAGGTTCAGACAGCTATTAAGTATAAAAGTAAGAATATAAACCCATGTTCTGTTTTAACATATACGATCTTAATTAATATGTATTTATAATATACTTCTTCTCCAGACCTGAATAAGAATAGCTCTTTTCAAACTGCAATTTAAGTTCTATTAATGGGAGTAAAATCACTGAGGATGGAGATTGCAGCCATCAAATTAAGAGTCTGCTCCTTGGAAGAAAAGCTATGACAAACCTAGATAGCATATTAAAAAGCAGAAACATCACTTTGCCTACAAATGCTCATATAGTCAAAGCCATGGTTTTTCCAGTAGTCATGTACAGATGTGAGAGTTGGACCAGAAAGAAGGCTGAGCAGTGAAGAATTGATGCTTTTGAACTGTGATGCTGGAGAAGACTCTTGAGAGTCCCTTGGACTGCAAGGAGATTAAACCAGTCAATCCAAAAGGAAATCAACCCCAAATATTCATTGGGAGGATTGATACTGAAGCTGAAGCTTCAATACTTTGGCCACCTGATGTGGACTGACTTACAAGAAGAGACCCTGATGCAGGGAAAGATTGAGGACAGGGGGACAAGAAGATGACACAGGATGAGATGGTTGGATGGTATCACTGACTCAATGGACATGAATTTGAGTAATGTGTATAGCCAGGGCTTTCATCCCACTTATGAGGTTGAACACAAAACCCCACATCATTTATTGTACCGACTCCTATTGATGGGAGCTAAAGGTGCAAACAATGGCATTTTAAAAGTCCAATTCCAAGGATCAGCAGAAAAATAAAATGTTTATTAGTTCAGTTTAGTTCAATCGCTCAGTCCTGTAAGACTCTGCGACCCCATGAACTGCAGCACACCAGGCCTCCCTGTCCATCACCAACTCCCAGAGTTCACTCAAACTCATGTGCATTGAGTCAGTGATGCCATCCAACCATCTCATCCTCTGTCGTCCCCTTCTGCTCCCATCTTCAAACCTTCCCAGCATCAAGGTCTTTTCATTTGAGTCAGTTCTTTGCATCAGGTAGCCAAAGTATTGGAGTTTCAGCTTCAACCTAAGTCCTTCTAAGGAATATTCACGACTGATTTCTTTTAGGATTGACTGATTGGAACTCCTTGCAGTCCAAGGGACTCTCAAGAGTCTTCTCCAACACCATAGTTCAAAAGCATCAATTGTTTAGCACTCAGCTTTCTTTATAGTCCAACTCTCACATCCATACATGACTAGTGGAAAAACCATAGCCTTGAGAAGATGGGGCTTTGTTGGCAAGGTGATGTCTGTTTTTTAATATGCTGTCTAGGTTGATCATAATTTTTCTTTCAAGGAGTAAGCGTCTTTTAATTTCATGGCTGGAGTCACCATCTGCAGTGATTTT